CAGGTTAGTTAACGTGAAAGGAAACAACATTGGGAGTTCCATTGACACAGTTCACACATACCCACATGTTCAGCAAAAGCTGCGCACGTCTGCACAGTTGAGAAGAGGACTGCTAAGGAATTCCTGCCGTGCTGCTGATGCCCGGCGCCCTTGTGTGTCACGTCGAGATGCCGAAAACGGGCAAAGACCTTTCCAGCTGCAATGACTAAGCGCTTTAGGCACCAGCTCCAAAGTTTCTAGATGTATGTTATTTATATATATATATATATGTATAGAACTTCTCTGCAAAACCGGAAGTCAAAACGGCTCTCCAGGAGTACTTTCGGCTCAGAATCATTCCCACCCAACCCCCGAAACACCTTTGAACAATGTTAAAGCCATTCTTTTTTTCGGTTCCTGAAGGGGCCCAGCTGGCATGCCCGCTGCCCGCCCCCCACCTCCGCCCCTGCATCCCCAAAAAAGACACACACACACACATACACCAACCACCCTTCGCGCCCGCAGGAGCTGCACCAGCGCTTGAAGGCTGTCGGCCGAGGGCGCCAACACCAGCTCCCGCCACAGCCCCGGGAAGTTCTCCCGGACCCTGGCGAGCGCGGAACCGTGGCGCGGAGGATCCGCATAGGTGTCCTTTTGGGCAAATAGATGGCCCAGGTAGATGATTAAACAACCAGGTAAACCAGGGCCATCTATTTTTCGACCAAAACAACCAACAAGGACACCTATGCTTGCGAGCCGCAAAGCATCAGCAGCTTTTGGGATCTGAAGGGTCAGGACTTAGGGATCTGAAAAAGGGGAATAGGTGCCATGCCGCCGAACCAAGGCAACGAAGGGGACTTGTAAAAAGCGCCATGGTCCCATTCCTTACACGACTTTGTGACTCCAAAGGCTTGGCGCCTAAACCAAATGTCCCGCGTTCATGGGGTGTCTTTGACGGGCAACCCCCATTGAGGCTAATCAAGTGAAACCGAGAGCCATCTTGTTGTTCTTTTCGGAGGTGTCAAAATGAAACAGGACTTCGTGGGTTCTCTTTCAAAGAAAACCCAACATGAAAAGAGTCCATGTTAGAGAGTCCATAGTTTTGACACGTCAACTCCCCTGCAAACCAACGAGCTGCGACGAAAAGGGACCCGACTTCAGAAGCACCCCTCTAAAGCGGGTTGGCGGCTCCATTCCCATTTTCAGGATAGCAGACTGTCAAAAGTAAGTTGGACAGTTGTTCAAGGGACCAGCTTGAAACTGTTGCCAGATTTGTGGAGTCCAAGTTGTGACAGATACCTCATACCTCCATATTTTCCCTATTCAATATCCCATCCCTCAAAGAGGCGGGTGGGCGTTTCCCGGTTCCATGTTCTACGAATCAGCTGCGTCCATGTTGGATCCAAAAGACTGACATGACTGACAGAAATCCAGGTCTCCCTCTCCCACCAGAAGTTCGGGTCCTTCGGGCTGAGAAGCGGATGTCCCTTCCAAAAAGGCTTCAACCTCACATAGCCAACGCAACCTTGCGATCCATCTTGCTTCACCAGATCCCATCCGACCTGGCAGCACCCTTCTCCCGGGACACCAGCCAGTGCTGAGAGAAGTCGGCGCCTCCCATGTGCCATCCCATGTGTTGTTCTTTTGGTTGAAGAAAATGGCAGTCTGTTTGAGTGGGAAAACACGCGTTTCCCAGGCTGCAGGTTCAAGGTCCAATCAGCAGCGAAGGCGTTTGTTGAGTGGCCCATTCCGAACCACCAACCGAAAAGGATGATCCCATGTTTTGTGTTTTGTTGTTTTCTTCTCTTTCTTTCTTCGTTTTTTGGGAGGGGGAGGGCAACCTCCTATCATCAACGAACGGGAAGAAGGGACCTTCATCATGAAGCCGTGTTTGCTGCAAGTGAGCTCGTTCTAATTTGTCTACATTGCTTCGCTTGGTTGCTGCCTGTTTGGCGTCTTACGCCGACACTGCGAACGGGACGGGTCGAGGTCGCTTACAAACGTTCAGTGTGGTGAATGTGGCGAATTGCGCTCGTGCCTTTCCGTTTGCGGGCTGCATCGGCGAGTGGCAGGACGGGAATATTACTGCCCTCGTCGAGGCACAGGTCAAGATATGGGCTGGTAAGGCAAGCACATAGTCACTTTGCCACACAAAAAGGGAACAAATGGTTGACTCATTGCCACCTGGGAATGACTTTTGATTGGGGCTGAGAAGACACTTCAAGCTGTCTACCACTCATGGCTTAGATTTCTAACAGCGCCGTGGCAGCGCCCGGATACGAGCACGCCATCCTCTCCAACTCCGCTCCTCCCGCCACATGTCTGGGGTTGGTTGGAGTTATATAGAGTTCTGAGTTGTTCATGCATCCCGTTGTTGTCAAGGGCCAGGACGCCAATGGGTCCACCAGGCCCTATTTAGAGGCCTAGACTGCCAAGAATCTAAGTGTGTCTTAGCGTAAGAGATCCCTAAACTTGTTCTTCTCCCTTCCCCAGACCCTAACTTGCCAGAGGAAGGGTGGGGTACTTGGTACCAAGACGCGGCGCCTTGCTCGGAGGCCTCCAGCGCCAGGGCAGCGGTAAGCTCAGTGACCACCTCCTGGGGGGATCGGTCCTCGCAAATGGATCTGGCCGTGGGGTTTGCAATACCAATCAAAAGGGGTCGTCCTTTGCTCTGCTTTGCTTCCCTGAAATGGAATTGGTCCCACAATTGGTCCCACAATGGCAACGATGTCCGTTAGGGTCCATTTTGAGAAACCCATCATATGTCGCATGCTACTCTTCGTAGGAATGCAAACTGTTTTTGGAAAACACATGAACCACATGTTCCCAAAGGTTGGTTGAAGGTTAACATGCAGAGAAAGGTTCTTGTTGGATTACCCTGTCGGAATCATCAAAGAGGGGTGTCAACCAGAAAAGACAACATGTTCTAAGCATGCTGCTGAAATTCACGAAGTATTCGCCTCTTGATTCCGTGTCCGATCTCTATCATGTGTGAGCTCGCCCTGCTCCTAGATGAGCTTTTTGAAATGTGCGCAGATATATGGGGGAAGTAAACAATTGCCCCCGGTGAAAGTTCTCAGAACCTCCTTGGGATTAGAAGTGCTCTGAAAAACTTCGTTGGGAGGGGAGTCTAATGTCGCCTGAATATGGCCTTGGGGTCTTCAGCCTGGACCCCCCTTGAGGGAGGTCATAACTTTGGGATGCCCGCATTGTGGCCAAAAACTGAAAACCAAATGAAACCATCCATGGCCCAGACCGAAATGCGCCCGCTGATTAGAACAGGCTCTAGTTCCTTGCACTCAGTCGCAGCGGCTTGTGGCCTACCAACAATGAGCCCCCATTGTGGGGCCGTGTCCAGTTCGCACCCCCACCAAAGCCCAGGAACAAGCTCGGCCGTGCTTTGCTGGTCAATTGCAAATGTTACGTTGGCCCGCCAACCGAAAAGGTCTCTCCAGCGCATGGCAATCATCTCAGGCAAGCGATGGATCCCCAAGAAGCTTCTTTGGGTATTCTGTTATACCTTCTGGGGTGACGAGTTTACTGGGGCTGAGACCCTGTCAAAACCGCCGCATCGCCACCCCGCCTGCCAACACGGCAACCCACCGGGGTGAACCACCCTGCCTGAAATAAGAGCAAAGGCAGTTGGCCTCGTTGCAAAAGCCTTCCCGACTCTACTTTATGCGAGCACTTCTACAATGACCAACCAGGGCAAGAACATGTGTGTATACAGAGGTATGCAATCTTTATGTATGCATACACAAAGTATCTTCCACCACCGCCACCACCACCACCGCCACCACCATCGCCGCCAGCAGCAGCAGCAGCAGCAGCAGCACCACCACCACCACCACCAAAGAAGGGGTCAGTCCTGCAAATCCTCCTTCATCACAGTGGTCTGCGACGGGACATCCGCCACGGCCTATGGCACAGTCGGAAATGTTCAGTTTTGGCTGAGATGTTGTTGAGAAGAAGCAAAACCAAACATCCCACGAGGTCGCATTTCGCACAACGTCAAATTGACTGGCTGCAATTTGGAGAAATCCATTCTGGAGACATTCCCGATGGCCAGCGGCTACATTGCCAACGTTTACTCGTTTGCACACCGAAGTCCCGCTCCCACCCCCACCCTCGGGGGAATGCGCAATACTTGATATGCATTGTGTACATGTATGTACACATATATACATATATATATACAGACTATTTCATAGATATATAGATGAAAGGAAGACCTTATTAACAACTGCAGTTGTTTGGTTGTACACATCCAGGTCCGTTCAGGCGTCACCCCGGGACCCCGGGCCATGACCAGCGCGATGAGCTCGGCCACCGCAGCGTGGCGGTCCGCGGAGAAGCGGTCCAGCCACAGGCACGCCGCCTAGATAGCTTCCCAGCGCTTGGGACTTGCCGCCAAGGGCGGGGTCGGGCTTTTTGTCGCGTTGTGTGGTGTTTTGTGGCATTGTGTCTTGTTTTTTTGGCGGGGGCGGGGGGGGGGGGGTGAGGTTGGGGGGCTTTAAAGGGAAACCACAAGGAAGACCCAAATCCGGCTTTGGGGTACCAAAAACTAGTTTGGTTTCCTTGTCCAACTTAAGGATCCCTGAAGGCGGCACAAGGCAGCGCTGGGGCAGAAAGGGGTCCACATAGTTTAATGTTACCTCCAGTCGCCACAAAATGGGAGTTTCATCAAACTCCGGGGTTTGTGAGGTGGGTGGCTTCGTTTAGGTTTCCCCTTCCCAAAAGGGGACCCGATGTCCCGTGCCTTGCGGAGGTCCGGCTGCTTCTGGCGCATGGCCCGCACCAGGGGGCTCTTGCCCGCGGGGCCGGCAGCACGCGGCCTTGCTCTGAGACGCTGGAGACGCCAAGGAACCAGGAGGGGAGGGCTGAGGTGGGGAGGGGAGGTGAGGAGGGGAGGGGATGGGGATGGGGAGGGGTGAGGATGGTCTGCACACTTGGAAATCCTCCCAGCGTGTTTCAACACCCTGGGAAGATGATTTGTTGAGGATGCCCCACGTCCAGGGCAAAGCCACCGAACAAGATGTGGGGTGGCTGCATGTCAACACCTGCTGGGGGCTCCCAACCCTAGCCGTTCAATCCAGATTGGGCCCTTGATTTGCTTGGCGTCCTCTTGCTGTCCCAGCCAAAGAGGCCTTGAGTTCCTCCTGTGTTCAGACGCCCCTTTTGACCATCGGCACCCTTTGTCCTGAGCCGCCCTGCGGAGTAGCTTCAGCCATCCTGACCGGGGCAACCTCCCCCGAAAGGCCAAAGGCGATGTGGGACTTCCTTTTAGACCCCTGTCGCCTAGGTGCCAAAGCCGCCCCCCTTTAGCAGTCAGTGTCGGAAACAGGGTTGTGACATGCATAGATTTCTCATAAGGCACAGAGATACGTTGGAGGATTCACGCAATTGCCCTCACTGCAACTTGGAATTTGAGAAAAGACCGGAAAACCATGTCCGCTTTCAAGGGGCCTAGTATCAGGCTCCATCCACTGGAAGAATATGCGGTACAGCTTAAGGCGGCTTGTTTTTTTGGGTTGTTTTTTCCTTTTTATTTTCTTGCTTATGGTGTCTGTTGGGAACCAAACACCATAATACTTCCTTGGAAGACTCCGTAGTTTGTCCAATTCAATGAATATTGATGAAACTAGCCGATCGAGTTATCAATTGCAACACTGGATATAATTTTGGGTGAATGAAAAGGAGGCCTTTTGGTGAACATCTTTACACTGGGTTTCATGTGCACCAGCCACACATTCATAGCCAGTTGGAAACGGTGCATAGCTCTGGGCTGTAACGTGCTTCTTAGCAACTGTCTGGTGTTCAGGCAGAATTCTAGAAAGAAACATGCCCATCAAGATGTTTGGCAGGCACAATGATCAGCCCCTCCTATGCTTTCGGTGTTGGGATCATTCTGCGAAACTTGGGATCCTTGCGAAACTTGGCTTTCCTGCGGGCTTCTCTCTTGTTGGTAGATCAACGTCACAAAGAGGCACGGGTCTAGACGCTTTTACTGAAATCTGCAGCCTCCCTTGCGACCAGCCGCGGCACGAAGGGCCTGTGTCTCTTTGGGTGCGGCAAATGACCAGCTTGGGCCGAAAAGCTTCCGAATCCGAAAGGCGCTCGCCATAGGGCCGATGGTCTCGGCTTAGAAATTGGATGCATATCACTGCCAAGCTGCTCGCCAACTGGAGCAACAAGCGACAAGTTAAACATAGTAATGTGTACACCACTTACCCACACATGGCACCTGGCAGAATATCCTTTCAAAGGGAATTTGGCCGGTCAAATGGTGACACCTACACGGACACGCTTTCTCCAAGGGACGGGAAAAGGGCTGGGGCATCCGATGTTCAACAAGTGTGACTTAAAACAGGTCCGATCCCGATGGCAGCTGCATAGTGCGCATTCTCTTGAAGCGCTCAGTGAGCCGTTGAGTGAAGCCCTCCGCGGCTAATTTTGAGACATTTTTCAGACTGTCGCTGCCAAATGTATCGAAGCCCCTGAAAAAGTGGCAAAGCCCACAAGTGTTCAACCATTTGGGGACCCTAGAGTTGGGTAGCCCCAAGGTCTTCAAAAGGCTAAACACGTGGCTGTTGAATCATACTAGATTGGATTGGTCCAAAAAAACAGCGTGAACTGCAATCATTCACAAACCCAACATGAAGGGATTGTGCCATGGATAAACACCTTCACGATATCGCCCGCGACCCATTTGTGAGGCTTCATTTGCCTAGAATCCATCTGGGCAGATTACAATGATTCCCAACCCGAAAATAGGAAGACCCCAAATAAAGGGCCTTCAGCATCGGTAAAATCACGCATTCCCCCTACCCTTTCCTCCGCCCACAAAAAAAAGCAACAACAAAACAACCAAGGGCGAGCTCGTTGCAAGACGACCTCCTTTGGGGCCCAAAAGATTGGGGCCCCGGCTCCCGCAACTGCGAGCTGCTGTGGATGCGCCGCAGCGAGCCTTTCCGCCCCGTGAGATGCACCCAGGAAAAGTGGTTGCCATGTCCGAGTGCGAAACTATTGGAAAATACAGCACATTGACCAAAGCAAAGGCCAAAGGTCGGTCTGGGGCAACCGAGCAATCCGGACAAAGTTCTGGGATATTCAACAAGTTCTTTCAGTTTTTGCTTGGCACCAGCTCAGGCCTTAGGATTGGCTGACACTCTGAGACCTCAGCCTGAGCGCGTGACTACTGGTTGTGTGAAAGGAAATAGGGGCAAGGACCCAGCAAAAACATCACCTGCCATGTCCAAAATAAAAAGGTGACTGTGGGCCGGTCTGAAACGAGCGCCCAGTTTCCGGACGCTTTGTGGGAAGACTAGCTCCGAGTGGAAAGACCACAAGCCTCGTTGCTGCGGAAGGTTTTGGGCTGTTTTACAGCCATGCAAGAGGGAGATAATTTGAATGAGGCTCAAGGTGGATGTGGGGCAGAAAAGTGTTTCCGGCTGGATGCGCAGCACTGTCAAGGGGCTGTTTTTGGTTTGCTGTGCTGTTGGCTTGATGGCTTGGCGCAAAGCTCCGAGGCCAGTTCCAAACCTACACATAAAAGCCGACTGCCCGACTCTACAAAAAGGGGGGGCAGGACCATCTTCCAGTGGGTCCCGAAGGCCAAGGCCATTGGGTGCTCTGAGTCGAGGCGCGCATCACGGTGCCCACAAGCTGCGGCAGCCGCTGCGGGGGCTCGGAGCCCAGTCGCAGCAGGGGCTCCTGACGGGGGATTCGTGGGTCAGATCTGAATCCCAGGGTCGGACTACCAAGACATTAGTCACCTTCACCCCTCAGCTTGGTTGACGTTGGAAGGGGAGCAAAGATTTAAATCTTAGCAGTTCGGTGGGGATTTCCCACTAAACCACAAGAAGCAAAAATGTAAAATGCTTCCCAACAACAACCATGTCAGGCCCACGTGGCGACATGTTTCAAATGGAGGACAGATACCCAAGCAACAGTTCCAGGATAGTACACCGAAAAAAAGTTCACATCGCCCAAAATGGCTGGAATCCCATCCAAGCTTCACGATATGCGTGCTTCCCGAAACGAAGGAATTCTTGAGGTGATTGGTTTTATTCTGGGTTTCCTCTACCAGACTCTACCATGCCTCTGGGTCCAATGAATTGATTTTCCTGCACGCCTCGACCACGCGCAGGTAGCGAGCGTTCCAGCCTGGCAGCACGGTCCGCCCCGATGGTCAATCCAGGTTTGGGGAATTGGGTTTGTCTCAAAGGGAACCCTCCAAACAGGTGGTTTCCTTTTCTTCTGTCCAACCAACCACAAAGGGTACCCTCAAAGCAGACACTGCCAGTTGTTTGATTTGTCCCCTTTGAAGCGAACCCAAACGGACAATGGTTACCCAATGGTGACTTTCGTTCGTGAAGGGCTTGGTATGGGAAGGATCTCGGGAGGGCGCGCCATCTCGGCCCCGCTGCTTTCTGGGGCTGGGGGGAGGGGGATGAGATGTTGCATCAAAAACGAACCATTCCGGTCGTGTGAGACCTCGCAAAATCATCGCTGCTGGGGATGGTCGCGCAAGGCTTACAACGTCACATACAAGAAATCCTGGAGATGGATGTCCGCCTCTCCACAGATACTGTTTGTGGGGTAACCCTATAGGGAAACGGCCCCTGTCGCACAACTGGATACGCGCCATACAGCGAAGCGTCGTCCGAAAACTAAAGGAAGCCAACCTTTTCGGGGTAAGCTGGGCCCAAAACTAGCCACATAGCAAACGAGCAAACGAGCTAGTCATTTGAGTTGAGTTGCTTGGTACGTTAGTTCGCTAGCTGGTTGCTAGGTTTGCTATCTTGTTCGCCTGTTGGCCAGTTTTCTAGTATGCTATTTAGCTACTTGTCTAGTTTGCCACGTAGCTAGTTAGTTACTTGCTAGTGCAGTTTAGCTCACAAGCCAAGCAGCTAATAAGCTAGCTATCTGGCCAGCTAACCCTTCTGTTGGAAGCACACAACAAACACATACACATATATACACATACACATATACACACATGCACACATACACACATTCACATATACGCATATACACATTTACACATGTACACATATACACATATATATATATACACATATATTTGGGCAGCCAGAGCGTGGCTATCTTCCTGCATTTCCCCCCCCCCGCGGCCCACGCGTTGTTTTCTTCCTCGCAGGAGAAGCTTCCTCTGCGCGCCACCCCCATGGCCGCAGGATTAGTGAGAGAGGGCCCAGGTGAAGACTCGAAGAGAGGCGCAATGACCCATGAGCCGAGGCAAATCGCGGGTTCAAGCTGCACCTGATTGCGGATAGAAGCTTGGGAAGAGTTTGGGGGCGCCCTCAATGGACATGGATAATAAATCGGTATTTTTGTCCCTCCCAAATGGACCATGGACTCGAACCTCATAGCCCCAGGCACCAGTTGAGTGTGTTAGTGCCCACTGGTTGCCTCAGACCCGGCGATTCCTATTGGCACCCCTAAACATGGCTTCCCTCAGTTTCTATCCTCAACTCCTGGCACCGATTCCAATGAATTGGCCAGAGACTGCTGCATGCAAGGCGCAAAGAGCACGGCTTGGGTTGCGCCGTAAGGCACACCTCAAGGGTTCGTGCTATGCCGGGTTATTTGTACGGATGGCCGCGCCGCTTGCGCCCCTCAGTGGAAACCGGGGATTCACTTTTGTTGTTGAGGGGAAGCAATTGTGAAGCAGCTTGGGAAAAGGGTCTCAATTGTTCCTAAATTCTAGTGCACACAATATTGTGGGAAGACTGGCTAAGACAGGGCTCGCGCTACACTTCACAAAAGGGAGGATGACCCGGAAATGTTCCGGACATGCTGCAGGATTCCTGGGCACTGAGCAATGGAGTCAGTTCAACAAACGCCAGCCCCGTCAAAGAGTGGTCGGCTCAGGCGGCCGCAAGCTGAAGCTGAAGCTGCATCTCCTGCAGTGCGGTTCGACTTTTGCGTTGGTTTTGCGTGTGTTTTTAGCGTAGGCAGAACATGGAAGTGCTGTGGAAGGGAAACCAAACCAGATTCCAACTGCAAGTTAGCATGAAACCCCAAGAATGGGGTCCCTTTTGGGCATGCCTCGACACATGATGGCCTTCGGGGTCTCATGTTAACGCGTAAATTCACTCCGGCTGAGGATTTGGGGCTCGGCTGAGGATTTGGGGCTCCTTGGGCTCCGGGCTTCTGGAGTTCCATCAAAGCCTTCCACTGAATCCGGCCAGCTTGCTACTTTCCGACCAATGACCCGTCTGGCAAATGTTCATTGAGGCATCACAATCACTCTCGAAACTGACGCACCCCCATGGACCGATTCTTCCGGGGCAAGCCACCTCTCAATCTGCAAGGCTTGGTCAGTAGTGGACATTCTCTTCACCATTGATCTGTTGTTCGCCTCAACTTGAACCGAACCTTCCTTTTGGAGAAGGAGAAAAACATGAATTGCACCCGGCACCGCGGAAGAACGCAGCAGCTTGCACGTGTTGCGTTTTGGAAGCAAGAGGTCAAGTCCTTGGTTGAGGCAGTGTTTGCTGCTGCTACGCCACGCTTGGAAAGCCACCCCTTACAGCACAAATTGCTGTCGCAGCGCCAGATGTCTGGGATCTGGGCAAGCTGTTCGAAACCAATGATTGTCGCTCTTGCGATTGCAGGTTCGGCCCAGCAGAACATCAACCATGTGGTTGGCTCCCCCTTGCCACAAACAGGCTTGCCTAAGGTGGCGATAATTGATTAAAGACCAAACTTATAACAATGCCAGGACCCCCTTCTTGCTTGGAGATGCCCTTTCTGCACGGCCAAAGCGCCGGGCAATCCTCCAGGAGGCCAGGCCAGACCGGCTCCTCTTCGGTTAGGCGCTGCTCTAAACCTATTTGGGGGGCATGAGCTGAAAGAGGCATCTAACCCGGAAAATCCAGATTCTACAAACTAACTGTCTCGAAGAAGGATGGGAATATGTGAAGCCAGGGCTGAAGGGCCCCAAACGAGGCCATAAACCACGACATCTGTGGAGCAAACTGGCAGCCAGGAATGCCACCCGCTTTGGCGTTCAGCCCCACAAAACGGGCTAAACCCCAAGCCTAAGTTTGCGGCCGGTGCTGAAATAAAGCAAGCACAGCCCCCCCGCAAAAACCCTTGCATCTGTCTTCACTGCTCCACAATTCGCCTCGGCCACCAGGGAAGTGGTCAGACCCCTTCAGAGCCTCGCGGGATCTTGTAAAACCCTATCCCTAACCCCGTCCCCACTTCAGTGGAAGCAACCGGCCCCCGGGTCGGGAGGTCAGATCCCTTCAGCTTCAACAAGGATCTTGACTCTCCCTTATCCAACCCCGCAAACCCCTCCAAACTGCCCAATTCCCTTGAAAACTGATCAAATCCACAAACCGTAGAAACCGCCAAGAAGCCGATAGAAACCGGTCAACTTCCCATCTAGAAGCCAGTCAAATCCCTGTAAAATGCTCAACTCCGGTCAAATCCCGCCAGAACCGGTCAACTTCCTCCTCTCAAAGCTGGTCCAGCTCCAATCAAATCCCCCGAGAAACCGGCCATATTCCCGGTCAAATTCCCCTTCAGAAACCAATCCAATCCCCCCAGAAAACCGTATAAACCGGTCAAACTCCCTTCTAAATCCCGTCTGAAAACAGGTCCAACTCCCGTCAAATCCATCCAGGAACCGGCAAAATCCTCCAATAAAACAGTCAAATTCCCAAATTCCCGGGAAGTTTTGGACCTGCGCTTGGCCCACAATTTTGCTCTCGTTCTGCTTATCGGTGGATGTCACTAATTGTAAACGCTTTGCGTTGCCCGCCTCAGCTGGCTTTGAGGTATAAGCTGTGCTTTAGTTTGCCTTGAAGTGTTGTCATTGCAGTGAGTGAGTCGGCGCCGAAATGCGTGAGCTGGTTTCCATTGACCAGATCTGGGTTTTCAAGCTTCCGAAGGTGCACTCTCGCTGTGGCGCCGCGCGAGCTTCGCAGGTGCACCCTCTGCGGACTTTGGGCGTATTGGAGCGCTCTTGCTGTTTTGCCCCAGGAATTGTTTGAGATCGCAATCAACCCTCTGCAGACTTCACGCTGGCATTCGCTGCGCGAATTTTCAACCGTCGAAAGAGAACCCTCTGCGAACTTTGGGGGCGTTGAATCGCTGTCCGGCTACTTCATGTTGCCTGCCTGGATTCCTGTCTTGCAATGTCTTCTAATCATTTTTTACCACTGTTTGGGGCCGCTGGTGGGATAACCGTCTTGCAGAAAGCATCTCGGGCAAAAGGGCTCGGGTGTGCCCGGTCGACAGTCTTCAGCGGTGCCTTCGGGTGTGATTAAAATGTCCCTTCAAGCAGGAAATAAACCATTTTAAAATTGGTCTGAAGTTCACGATGAAAGAGCCATCCCCTTTCAGTCAATCAAGGGATTGTTCGTCCTGCTGGTTGTCAGTTTGACACCCACAGCCAGCATGTTGATCATGCTGCCAAACCCTGGATCAGTTCTGTGTAGAATACCGAGTGACTCGCTTTGTGCAATGGGTGTACCGAGAATTAGAACGATGTCAACAATGTGTTTCCACGGACGCCCTCAAGAAACCAATTGCAGGGTAAGAGGGCCAGAAGCCCTTGTCTGTGATTACCAGGGACTGCTGCGCAATGGAAGATCCTGATTGGTCAACCCAAGATGGGAGAACCATGAATGAAGGCCATCGAGGCATCTTTGCACCAGGAAAACACCAAAAGGTCCGGGTCCTGTCCAAATCGCTTCCATTGCCTCCCTTTTGAGCCGTTCGTGCACCGACCCCCCAGCGGCTCGACCGTATGAAACCTGTTGTCGAGTCCTCTCGGGCAGCCAGCAGCGAGACCGCCTGAGCCAATGCTGCCAGAGAGTGACCCCGCTTGTTGACCCCCTGGAAATGTCATGGGACTCGTGTTCCTGCAAACCCTCCAATTTGATGAGATTCGGAGCCCTGGAAAAATGTTGCATACACCCTGGATCTTCCTCAAGAACCTGCGAGGGTTTGAGGCCACGCCCGAGCCTTCTCCAGGCACTGATCCCCCAAATCCGCGGACCCTGCGCGAATGGGGCGAATGGAGCGAATGGGGCGAATGGGGCGAATGGGGCGGCCAAACTCAGGACCTGCCCAGGATTCCAGTCCAATCAGCAAGCCCGAGGAAAACACATGAACGGTAGTGGACAAACAGCTTGACCTACTGTCAGAGGCAATCCGTACGGCCACCTAATGCCTGAGCCTTTTGACTGATAGGGCACTAAGATTCCTAAGGTTCCTGTAAGCCCGGCATGTTGTCAAAAACGTGAACCAAGTCTTCCAACCAAAGTCTCTGGGTGCTTGGCAAAAACAGTTTCTTTTGCGAAAGCCGGAGGGATTCATCATTACTTAGGGCCTGCCACTAACGACAACTCTTTATACCAATGCTACAAATTGTACACTAGTGTCATGCCAAGTTTATACCATATTTTTATACTACTGTTCTACAAATGATATACACAGTTTATACCAATTGTATACCAATGTTATACCAATTGCGTACCGATTTGAAACAATTTGTATACCAAAACAAACACCAATTGTTTACACATTGTATGGTAGCTTTCCGGAAACATCTCCAGCCAAAGGGCTCAGATTTCATTCCAAGTTGGTATAAAATTGTTATGAAGTTGTTATGTAAAACTTATACATTGGTATAAAGCGGGGTTTTCAAACAATTGGTATAAATCTGGCCGTGCCGTTGTGATTTGTTAGATTCATACCAATTTCGCGGGCCAGATTTATACCAATTGTATAGCGATTGTATACCAATTGTATACCAAAGTTGAATGACATCTGAGCTGGGCTTCCCCCTCAAAAAGAAGCGGTCGGACTCCAATGCTAGAAGTGGCGCGCCCTGATTCTTGACCCCAGTATTCAATCAAACTTGTCAGTTTCGCCACTACTTTGCCGCAAGAATTGGTAGTGACTCTGCCCAAAAAGCGTGGTAATTCTGGTATAAATTTGTATAAATTGGCAGTGACCATGCCAATAATTGGTGGTAATTATGTCCAGAATGGGTATGGAACAACCGCCTCAAGTAACCCCCCCCCCTGAGCACTGGTAAAGAAGGGGGGTAATTTATTGATAGAGGCTAGGCCTAAATCATGACCAATCGCCATTACGGGGCATGTGTCAAAGAGCGTAACCTCAAAAGTGGGAGTCCGTTTGGCCCCCTGAAAAACAGTGTGCCCTCAAAAAAAAACACAGCTAAACAGGTTGCAGCCAATCTTTTTCGGGCACCTTGTGCCAGGTCCGATTGCTCCCTTTCACAAGCCACCTGCATAAATTGGCTGACTGAGTGGCAACGAAAAGTCTCCATAACTCTTGAGGTCAGCAATATGTCTCCAACCCTCATCCCAAATATATCTCGTCCCAAAACAAAACTTGCGGAAGGAGCCTGCCTCCCCCCACCCCTTCGCGCCCTCCCCTCTTGAGACTCACTTCACTTACTCTGCCTCATATTGAGTCTCTTATAGCATAATTTGGAGATTCTCAATTTCGGGGGGTCAAAGCACCAAATGAGCATTTTGCTAATGCAAGGAAAACCAAACCTCCACGTCGCCTGAGGGCTTCGAGGCGTTTGCGGGTACTCAACCAAATGGAAGGACCCGCATCGGAATCTTTTTTTGGGTTTCCAGCTTCATCTGCACCTGAGCCTAATCATCGGAGGAATGAATGCGCCCGATTCCGAGCCCTCCAACCCTTGCCTGAGGTGAGGAGCCGGGAGCCTGAGGCGACACACCAATGCAAGCAAACAAAAGCGGAGATCAGATTTCGCCCAGCCAACAAATGAGATGTATGGCCCGTACTTTGTGGAAAACAGTTGCCAAAAAAAGAAGGAAAACGCTGGAGGAAACTAAACAAGTAGAAACGAAAAACCGAGCTGGGCAGACCAAAGCCATGAGCCCCATATGAGCCCCCTGGTTGATGCGGGAAAGCACCTCCCACCCCTTTCACGCGAAGGATTGAAGCCCAAGGGGCAGAGGGAAAGCTCCGGTTGGGAAACTGGATTTCAATCCCTCCTCAATTTAAGCATGTAAGAAGAGGCCCAAATTTCCAATGACCACCGACTGCTGGTGACTTGATCCTCCTCCTTCCTCGCTTCTTGTTTCTTTCTTTCTGTTTCTTCGTGTCCGCCCCCGCTCCTCCCACTCCCTGAGGTCGCGCACCCGCGTTCCAGCACACTGCCGCCAACCACAGCATCTCCTTCTCCGACGCCTGCGGCCCCTCTGTCTGGAAAGGGCTACCTTTGCCACGTTCAGCCCAACATTAAAAAGTTGCTTGGGTATGTGCCAAAATAGAGCACAACAACAAACGGTAGTTTTCTGTTTTGTTTTATTTTCAACCAAGGTGAAAAGGGTGCCCTCAACAAAACACACAACATATTTTATTGCCAAATAGGGATCTCGGAAATCAGACCTCATCTACTTTTGGGTTGTCTTTTTGAGGAAAATCAAAGATCGCGGATGTTTTTCAAACCCTCGGCAAAGGTACAAGGACATCCATGAATCCAACATGTAAATTCGAATCCCATCAGCTAAAAGTAATAGCTAGCCGTGAGTTCCTGAAGTGGTGGGTGCAAGAAGCGACCAGAGGTCAACCAGCAATTTCTGATTTCCCCCAGCGAAGCGATTCGTCGGGTTCTATGATTTCAGAGTGCCCCGGAACCCCTTTCAAAAATGAAGAAGCTGCGGGCACTGCTCCCAAAACCATTCTGGTGCTATCATGGTCACAAAGGTTGACTGCGGCCTTACTCTAAACCTCATGAAACGGGGTAGAACCTTTGCCCAATGGGAGTTTGGGGGGGGTCCCTCACAGATCTTAAAGCGGACCAGATTCCCTTTTTCGGATTTCTTGGGAGGCCATGACAACAATTCGGTTTGCCTACCCACTCGTTTTACCCCTAAAGACACCTGCACTAGTGGGAGCGACCCAGTTTCGAACATCAAGAGGAATGCCAAAATGAGTGGGTCCCATTTCAAAATATCAGCACAACTCCACCGCACAAAATGTGTCCCTTGCCAACCCCTTGGTCCATTCAATGAAGGCAGCCGGGCCCAGGATCTGAATGCGGGCTAATTGTGGTAACCAGCTCCTTCAAGAAACAGGCAGCAAATCGGCGTGAAATTATAATTGTTCCCTGAAGGGTCCCGCGAGAATTAATCACCTGTCTTCAGTACAAAGCCAAATTGCTTCCACCTCGCCACTCCCCCCCGCCCCAACCCCATGTTCTCTGTTTCATGATGAGTGACCTTCGCGCAATCCTGCATAATATATATATATATATATATGTATATATATATATATATGTATGTGTATATATATATATATATATATGTATGTGTATATATATATGTATCATTTAAGGCCGCCCTAGAGAGAACCGTAAAACCATTGCTGCTCGTGCCTCGCAATACATTCTCAGCCTGTGACACCCCCACACCCTTCCCCCTCCCCTCTCTTCCTAGACCAAAGCTTCCTTTTCCAAATGGGGCCCATATGTCCATCCTACTCCCCCCCCCACCTCTGCGCGAAGGCCACGAACCTTCGGCAAGAGCCGAGCCCATCGCTCGGGCAATGCAGATGCGGCCTCGCGAAGTGGAAAGAGCTCGCATGCGAGAACTTCCCCTGAATTGTCTATTAATTTGACTTTTGAATGTCATGGACTTGCTGCATGTCCCCTGAGTGAAGAAAGAACAAATCAGTGCAAATTTTGAATAACCCCCAAAAAGTAGCGATTATCCGTCGCAGACGTTCCCCTTGCCCAAGTGTTGAGGGGTCGATAAGCCCGAATGCGGCCAAACCAGGCCAATAAAGGGCCACATAGCCCCGAATACGGGCTAAGTTTGTGGGAGGTCTTTGTCTTTGAAAACAGAATGTAAAAATGTCACCGTGGATCCAAAGGAAGCCAGCCTTAGCTTACAAGCAAAGCTTGTCATGCCCTTCGATCGGTCGCATCTAACCAAGGGCCTTTTGCGAGCTTCTGTTTTCTGACTCGTTTGGACCTCCGACAAGATCCACGCGTCCAACCGCCTCCAAGCACATGAGCTCAATCTCGCGGAGCTTCAGCCCATGAAGCTCCGCGGCTGAGTCCTGGACAAAGCTGGTTGAATTTTGCTTTGCAAAGCCGAACAACGACAAAAAGGTGTGAGCTGAAAAAACAATATCAATGGGAGGGGGGGGGCAGGTCCGTGAAACCCAAGATGCTAACTTGGGACTTCCTTTCTTTGAAAAAGTCTCAAATGTCGGGTGGTTCCCACTTCCAGACGAAGGAATTTGCCTTGAAGCAAATGCGGCTGCAAGAAGCAACTGGCGATGTCGCTTGACCCCCTGCGGCCACTGCTTCTCTCACCCAGAGCAAATGGGCTTTGCGCAAAATTATGTACCCCGATAGGCAAAGGTTTTAGCAGGGGGGTAGTGTCTTTTGCAAACAGCCAAAAAGCAGATCTGCAACGACCTGGAATCCTTGGGAGCCACCACATCCGAGCAACACCGAGGGTAATTGTGCCTCCCTCCCGTCGTTTCACCACAGAGCTTTCGGTCTTAGTGCAAGCATTTGTTTCGAGTTGCAGATAGTATTGGAGTTTTTGGCACGCGTCAAAATCGGGGCCTTGCGCGAAATTTGCGGTGCTCCTTTCGCGCCAACCTTTCAGAAACCGAAGCTCTGGCAGCTAAGCTCCTCTCTTCACTGGCGTTTGCAAAGCTGGTTGCAGAAACAGATACGCTAAGGGATGGACCCCCGTGCTTAAACCACTACTGTTGAAACAACTTGCGTGGCTTACCTTTAGGAGGCCTTGCTTAGACAATGATTTGCCCAACGGTCTCTCCTCTTGACCCGGCTATTTTGTGATAGTTTCCTGAGCTGGCGCCCTGTTCTCACATGAACAAATGAAATGTTGAGATTGGAGAAGATTTGGCTATGGCATCTACAGTTAGTTGTTTTTCTTTGCTTGGCTTTTCTTGTCAACCAGTCAGAATCCACATCTACAAGCTGCCACTTGAACATTCGCAAAGCAACAAGATCACATCCTCTTCACCCCTCACTCCTCACCCCTCACCCCTGGCTCTCCTGGCAAAGGTCCAGCAACAACTCAAGCAGCTCGAGGCGCGAACTCGCGTTTGGTGCAATTGGACTCCTCAGCTCCCCGAGGACAAAGGCCACCTGGTCGCCATGGGGTGACGTCCTCAAGACTGAGAGTCACTAAAAGAAAACCCTAAACAAAATGGGCATTCAAAAAAAGGACTACACTCTCTCTCCCCCACCAAAAAAAGAGTGTAATTGTGAGATCCCCGTAACACCTTGATGGACGCAAATGCTCAAGTCATGTTCATGCCCTGTTCATGCCGACTGCATTGTCCATGTTTGTGTTTGAGGTTGTGCTTTTGTTTGTGTCTGTGCCTTTAGCTGTAGCTGTGTTTGTACTTTGCTGGTGCTGCTTGTATACTTAAAGCTATGTTGGTGCCTGTCGCCATTGTGCACTTCACCATTCACAAATCGCTTGAAGAAACACACAGCAGTGTACCCCTTCAATGACACTTTCCGCCCCAATCCAGCCCTGGGTGAAAAAATCGGGTTTGATCCGGATAACCAATCCGAATGCACCCCACCAAACGTCACCGCCTTCCCCCCCCCCCCCCTTCGTCTTCGTGCAGTCCCTTTTTGCTGGAGATTCCCTTCTTCCCCTGAGAAGTACCCAGAGTCTGCGCCGCTGCCGCGCCTCCGGCACGCCCAGCTCGAGCTCCCGCTGCCGCACGCGCTCCGCCAGGCTCTTCACCAACTCATCCTCCCCGCGCGCCTTTTCGGAGCGCAAGTCCGCGAGGGTGAGAGGACTGTACCCCGCGGTTGAGCCACTATTCTTGGCCCATGGAAACGGAGAAAAACATGTTGTCTGATTCATGTTCAGATTTGTTCTATCATGTTGATATGTTGGTCTACCCAAAAATATAAGATAGCTTTGGAGGACGCCCCGCCATTGTTTATGCAACGTCCTTTGGGTTTTCTTTTGAACTTTGAGGGGGGGCAGAGGTTTGCTTGTTTATGCGCAGCGACGGTCCAAGCTCGGAGCCTGCCAAGAAGGAAACAGAAACGAACGCAACAAAGCATTTGGAAGGCTCGGACAAGGCCGAGCCTAAGGATGGGTGCCTTCAAAGGCGCCTTTCCGTTTCGACTTGTGTCTATTTATGGTATGTTGAGTCTTGCTTGTCTGCTTCTCAATCGAGCCCGCTGGAGCGGACCCCGTCCCCTGCCCTGTCTTTGATGCACACTGCTTCGAGTCGTCTCCTGGACTCCGGGCAGTGGAAGTCGGTTAAGGGAAGTGGTGCTTCCCGCGTGTGGTACAAAAAATGATTCTGACTGCATGTCCCAAGTCCGTGAAACTATCGCGCTCATAGCAGTACGTACAGTCCCAGCTCAGATGCACCAAGCAATCCCCTCTGCCCACCTTGACTTGCTGAGTTGACTTGTCAAAAAGTACACTGTTTGGCCTTTCGGCCCGTTGACCGAAGCAGGTATGCCTTGTAGCTTCTGTAAACTCCGTTTTGCTGCCAAAGCAGCTGGATTCCAGATTTGTAAGCAGGAAAACGGCCCTTTCCCGCTTGCAATCAATACCCCAGGATTCAGCACTACCCTTGCTCAACTGACAATATCATCTGCTGCAATTTGGCAATGCCAGCATGATAGTGCAATTAGCCTTGTCTCGTATGACTCAAAGTCTGGACCCACCAGTGAGGTGTGCGCCAAGGTACTGTTTCCCATCAACGGACCCCAAACTGCCCAAACGCCCCACGTCTCTCCTGCTCCCAAAAGGTTGCGCTGATGGGCTAACTAGATCCAGGGATCATAAGTTGACCTTGAATGACGAGCGGATCTCAGAAGGAAATCCCCACAGTGACCAATTCCTTCTTGATTTGGACCAACACCTTGAACATGTTGAACCTCCACTGGGCGTCCCGAAGAGGAAACCAAGGCTCGGTGTTCCAGCAAGTGGGACCTCAAGAATGGTTGG